AGTGGGAGAGACAGCAGTTTTAAATGAGACAAAAGAGATGCAGCAATAAAATTCAGTGTCTAACACTTCCCTGGATCTTGAGCCAATTAAAAAAAGCTATTAAAAGTAGTGCCTTTTTTTCTATGGTGATGGGACAATTGGTATCAATTAATGGCAAAGATTACACAATCTTTACTTGGAAAAAGAGAGAAATAGCAAATAGGCAGCTCTGGTTTGCCCAGCTCGCCCAGAGCCTATACCTCCATTTATAATCCACCAGCATCTCCACGGGAGAAAGATAGACAATCTTCTTCCAGGGGATTTACAGTTTTGTAAACCCAGTGGAGGGTCAGTTATGAGTTTGAGTTTTGTGTGAAATATCACATCAAGAAAACAAGCAACATTATGATAGACGGTGAAGAGACTGAGATTGCTAACAGCTTTAGTTTGCTTGGCTCCACAATCAACCTCTTGATATCAGCAGTCAGGAAATCAAAAGATGAATTGCATTGGGAAAATCTGCTGTCAGGGACATCTCCAGAGTACTGAAGAGCAACAATGTCAGTCTGGAGATTAAGGTGTGCCTGTTCCAGGCCATTGTCTCCACAATTGCTTGCTATGTATGCATCAGAAAGGTAGACAATGACTAGGGATGATAGAAGGAGAATTGATGTCTTTGAGCTATGGTGCTGGAGAAGAGTATTGAATATATGGTGGACTGTAGAGAAACAAACAGGTTCATCCTGGAGAGGGTGAAATCAGGCTGCTCCTTGAAGGCAAGGATCCTGAAGCTTCATCTGACATACTTTGGGCATGTTGCAAGGAAGGATCAGTCCTTGGAGAGGAATATCATGCTTTGAAGTGTGGAAGAACAGAGAAAGAGAGGAAGACCATTGATGAGATGGATTGATTCAGTGACTGGGTAATGGTGATAGGTGTGTCAGAGTCAATAAGGTTGACACAGGTTAGAATAGGTTTCAGGACTGTTGTACATAGGGTCGCTATGAGTTGCAAGAGACTCAACGGCACTTAACAACATCATTATTTTTTTAAGAACTACAAAACTTCAAAAAAAGAGGTAGAACGGAAGTGATGTAGTTGTTATACTACAGTTAGATATAAACAAATATCTCATGGGATTCATTTCCTTGATTCAAGGTCTTTGATTCATGGTTTCTGAAAATACAATTGATCCTAACGTTGTGTTTGAGAGTTTCTGTTAGCCTCCTACTTTTATGACTTCTTGTTGTTGTTGTTGTTGTTGTGTGCTATAGAGTCAGAATTGACTTATAACTGACCCTCTTGCAGGATTTCAGAGACCCTAAATCAAACAGGAAATGATTGTCCATCTTTCTAACAACAATACACACACACATACATATATGTCATACACATATACATATATTTAGGGGAGCTCTATTAGTAAGAAGCTGCACTACAGTCCTAAAGGCACGCAGTTTGAATCCACCAGCTGTTCCGTGGAAGAAGGATGGGTAAACTCCTTTCATGCAATTAACTGTCTCTGAAAACCTGCTGGAAGGTCAACTATGGGTCAGTTACAGCTCGATGGCACACAACAACAACAACATGTATATATGCCTAACATATAGACTGTTAACTGCTAAGTGACAGTTCCAATCCACCAGCCACTCCAAAGGAGAAAGATGTAAAGATTTACGGACTCAGAAATCTGGCGAAGCATGGCTGTGAGTTAGAACCAGCTTAATAGTAGTGACTTTGCTTATTTCATATAGAAAGTGAGAAGATGGACAATATACATAGCATAATAAATGAGATCAAGTTATTATACTTTGAACGCTGAGCCTAAAATTACAGCATTTCTCCTCAAGCATCCATGCAATCCTTGGAGAAATAAGCCTTATATATTAGTTCACACGCCCCCAAAAAAATCCAACTTTAGTGGATTCCACAGAGTAGAAATGGCTCAGGAAGAGATCTCTAACCACAATGCCGTAAAAGCAGAAATGAGTAACAAAAATCAGAAACCCAAAGAGCTTCCCACCTGAAATGCTTAAACTCTTCCTTAAATTATTCTCAAGTCAAAGAGAAAATCACAAGATACTACACAACAGAATCTCTTAGAAATGAATTCTTGTTTGAGGGAGAAAAGAATCCTCACCTTACAAACTTTCTTAGACTCTAAAGAAAGAAGCCAATAAAACCAATTCCTGTCCAACTCAAGAAATTAGAAAAAGAAAGAACAATAAAGTCAACCCAAGGATAGCAGATGGAAAAGATTAATAAAGCTAAAAGTGGAAGTTAATACATCTTAAAAAGAGAAACAGCAGAACTAATACATGCATGAGCTGATTACTTGAAAACAAAGCCACAAAATGGATAAATGATTGCTTAATATTCTCAAGTAAAAGAGGAGAAAACACAAAACATAAGTAAATAATTATGACATAAAATCAGACCTACAGAAGAAACATTTTAAAAGTCACAAAATTTGCTCTAACTTTATGCAAATAAATTTGAAAATCTGGATAAATGGGCAGTTCCCTCCAATGATGTTTTACCCAGACTGACTCCAGAAGAGAGAAAATTTAAACATCATTTACCATGAAAAAAACAGATTAGCAAAAGGTAATTCTAAAGAAAATAACAAAAAAAATATATATAGTTTTAGATTTTATAGGACATGTCTGCCAAATGGTAATAAATTAATATCCTTCAGTATCACTCACTGGCCCGCTGGCATTCAGCTGGTGATCTTCCATTCAGTGATCTTCCATTCCGTTTCTGAGGCTGTTAAGCTAGGATAATTCTAAATGACCCACTGGCTCTGAGGAGCAAATACATTTATCCATGTTCTGGACTCTGTTCTCACTTGAGGCAAAATTTAGAGGAAAATATCCTGACCTCGACCCTGACTCTGACTCTGACTCCGCAATTAGCCTCTCACCTTTACCTCCTCATCTCCCCCTGCCCTTCACTCCTCAGCCTGAAATACCTTCAGGAAGTTCCTCCTTTCTCTACTTTGGGCAAGCAAAGAAGATTTTTTTTTTTTTTTGCAGAAAAGGACAGTTTTGGGTTTTTTTGGTTTTTGGTTTTTTTGTTTGTTTGTTTTTGTTTTTTTGTTTTTGTTTTTTTTTTTAGCAAAGGAGATCTTAACCCACGGGTTAAGCGTGTCCTGCGGTACAACCAGAGTCCTCCAATGTGTTCCACGCTGCCTTCAAGGAGGTGGCAGATGAGAGTCCTACAAGGAGCCAAATTGAGTTAGGGGCAGCCTATATATAGGCTGGGGCTATAGCCAACTTTCCCAGTGCAATTCATCTTTGGATTTCCTGGCTTCTGGTACCAAGAGGGTTGAGCTCCCTGTGAGGGAGCTCTGTTGGCCTAGTGGCAAGAAGCTGTACTGCAATCCCGAAGGCTCATGGTTCGAATCCACCAGATGCTGTGCTGGAGGAGGCGCAATCTCCTCCTGTGCCAGTTGGATCTGATTCAACTGAGGCAAGTTCTTCAGGTCCTCCTCACTTTCAGCAAGCAGAGTTGTGTCATCTGTATAACTTGGGTTGTCAATGAGTCTTCCTCCAATTCTGAGGCCACTTTGCTCCTCATAGAGCCCAGCCTCCCAGATGATCTGTTCTGCATATAGATTGAAAGTATTACTATCTGTAAAAGCTGAGAGCAGGGAACTCTGGTGGTCTAGTGACAAGAAGCTACACTGCAATCTCAGAGATATGCAGTTCGAATCCATCAGATACTCTGCCGAAGAAGGCGGAGCAATCTCCTCTTGTACCAGTCAAATCCCATTTGACAGTACACACACACACACACACAAGATTTTAAAAAATAAATTTAAAAAAAAAAAGCTGAGAGCAGTGCCTGTCACACACTAAGTGCTCGGTGCGTATTAGTCACCAGCATTGTCTTTGTTGTGACTTTCAGGAAGGGCCCTAGCAGTGGGGAAAGTGCAGACATCAGGCAGATGAACACAATCCTCCAGCCACCAGATCTTCCCACCCGCCTGCCACCTGCCGGTCTGCCGCCCCCTCCCTGTCTTCCGGGTCCCTCTGTGCAGCCTCCTCCCAGGTCCTTCCTCCAGACCCTGCACCCGCACTCCTTTTGCTCTTTGTCTCTTGGTCACAGATGGAAGGTTACAAAGTGGACTTTGGGACCGTTTCTGGTGACCCCAGAGCACCTCACTGCCTGTGGTACTGAGGACAGAGGCTTCACTGACTACCCAAGATAGCTTGTGCAGGCTGCCTCCTGCATTCTGTCCTCATCTTCATCCTTCAATTCTTCACTTCTCAGCTCCCCCCTCTGCCTTATTAACTCTCCTCAAAACCGCACCTCAGCTCCCAGTTCTCCCTCCTGTGAAAACTGCTCCCTGACATTCCCAAAGCCCCCTGTGCTGACTTCTCATTGGCAGTAGTCATTCTCCACAATACCATCCGTGTCACCCCAATCTTCTCCCCAAATTACCAACCAACCCCTGGCTGGGCAACTAGGTGGTCTAAGCTGACCCTCAGCCCCTCTTTCTCTTCTCCTCTAGAAATGAAATGCTCTTGGTCCATCTGCTTTCCACTCCCAGCCCCCTCCACGCCCCCAACAACAGCCCACCCTGTGGAGGAAATGAAAAGTGGGAAGTGAAGCGGTTTGCCAGGAGCAAACAGCAAGGCAGGGGGCGAAGCAGGACTTGAACTCATGGCCCTGCACAGCATCAAGGAGCTGAGAAGTTGGCTCCCAGGTCCAGGACATAGTGGACGAATGGAAGGACAGGACCCAGGCGTCGTCCTCGGGCCCCACTCGTCCACACTACCCGTGTCAGGGGAGCACACAGGAGCTGCCGCCCGCCCCCTGGACCCCCGCCAGTCGTTATCCCGTGAGGTCAGCCGCGGCCGGCAATTTCGGGGAAATACCAGTTCCTTATTAAAAACAGGCGGTGGCCAGGGCCCCTGCTGCTTTCCCAGTAGAAACTGGCTGTTTGTTCCAAAAGGAATAAAAGTGGGCAGAGCCCTGTCCGCTGCTGAGGTTGGAGGCCTGGGCTGCAGTACCTGGTCAGGGAGCCCTGGGGCTGCTGTGGGGAGGGGGCATTGGGTACATCCAGAGGTTTTGGCAAGGTCAGCCTTGGGTGAGGGGCCAGGCACTGGGTCCAGGGAGGAGACAGACACAGCATAGAGAGGTCACTATTAGGAATGTCACCTGGAAGCCACAGGAGACAGACAAGGCTTGCCCCCATCAGGGATCGAACTCAGGCAGGGGGCAGGGCCTGGGGAAAGCATGTAGAGGCTGTAAGGACACACTGCTCCCTTACCCGCACCCGGGCAGCACCCCCCGCTTGCATCCCCTGCACCGCTGCGTTCATCCCCTGCACCGCAGTATCCCCTGCACAGCTGCATCCTCTGCCTCGCTGTGTGCATCCCCTGCACCACTGCATGCATCCCCTGCACCTCTGCGCTCATCCCCTGCACCACTGCGTACATCCCCTGCACTGCAACATCCCCTGCACCGCTACATGCATCCCCTGCACCGCTACGTGCGTCCTCTGCACCACTACATGCATCCCCTGCACCGCTGCGTGCACCCCCTGCACCGCTACATGCATCCCATACACCACTGCATCCCCTGCATCACTACGTGCATCCCCTGCGTCACTACATGCATCCCCTGCGTCACTACAGGCATCCCCTGCACCGCTACGTCCATCCCCTGCACCACTACATGCATCTCCTGCACCACTGCATCCCCTGCGTCACTACATGCATCCCCTCCACCTCTGCGCGCGTCCCCTGCGGGGGAGCCCCCAGTCCCCTCGGCCTGCAGGGGGCGCCGGCGAGCCGCGCCTCCGCCGTCAGACAGGCTCGCGGCCTGGAGCCCGGGCATCTGGAGCGAGTTAGGGTCGGGGAGGCCTGGCGGCCGGCGGCGTGAGCTCATCCCGGCCCGCCCCGTTGCGGTCTCCCCGCCTGTGAACGGCACAGAGCACAGAAGCGCCGCGCGCCGGGGGAGCAGCGGCTCCTTCCGGGATGTGGGTGTGAGGGGGACCCGCGGGAGGGTGTGTGTGGCTGGCGCGCGGCCGAGGCAGGGCTGAGCCCGGGGAGCATCGCCCGCGCGCGGTGGCTGGCGAGATGCTGCGTGTGTCCCCGTGGGGCAAACTCTGTGCACGGGATAGAAGTGCACACGTCCTGGCCCACGCTCTCTTCGCATCATTAACCCCCATTTTGCAGAAAAAGCTAAATCCGAGAGGAGGATGAAAGCTGGTGGGGACCCCAAGCTGGGTCCCTGTGCGTGTGCAGAAGTTCTGGGTTGGCCTGCACCACATTACCCCCAAAATTCACACTAGCTTCCCAGTCACTGCCACTCCCACTTCCCAGGACCCCGTCAGCCCAGGATCCTGGGTAACTGTGACACACACAGAAAGACGTGATCAAAGAGAACTATTAGAAGGTTTCAAGGTGGTGGCAATGGGTCGGAGAGGACCCTGGTCCCACCCTCTTACTCCTCCTCCCCATGGAGGTCCTGGGTGCTGGAAGGGTTCACAGTGACACTGATCCCTGTGCCTTAGCCACCAACTCCCTCACTGCCCCCCACTCCCCAAATGGTCCTGACGTGCAGCCCAGAGACTAAGCAGTCTCCAAAGGCCCATGACTCCAGGGACCAGGAAACCAGAGTGGAGATATGGGCATCATCAGACATACAGCAGGGAGCTGAAGGTGTCTGAGAATCAGAGCACCCCCACTTCAAGCTGGTCCCACCCCACCCCCCAACTCAGGGTGTTCCTGTCCTAGCTTTGGGTAGTGGCAACCCCAGCTGCTCTGGAGAACTGAGGGAGGTGACCCTGACCACCCAGCACCTGCTAGCCTTGCTGACTGGTCTCAAAGGGATGTCACACCCCTAGTCCCCTCCTTTCACACCCAGCTAGCCATGACCTGAGCAAAGGCCAGGCCTGCTACATGGTGCACCTCACCGGAATCTGTCACCAGCTAATGTGTGAAGTCCACAGCCCCGTTGGTGGGGCCTTGTGAGGGCAGGCCTTGCTGAGGAGGGTACACTGAAAAAGGCAATGTCCCTGACTGGGCACAGAAGCCCTCAGCTCCCCGGACATTGGGGCAAGCTGGGGGAGGGATTTTTTTTTAAACTAGAATGACTCTGGTTTGCATAACCAGAGCTTCCAAATTACTTAGCAAAACATGTTTGCTTTTTAATTAACATGTGCTTGAAAAACAATGGTTTTCATTAAAGTGGGTGGGGGAGAGAAGGGATGGTGGGGGGAAATATTTCAAGGAGCTCCAAGTCCCGAGTCAGACTTCTTAAAAATAAAGTAAAAAACTTGCCCCCAGCTGGTGGAGTCTGAGAGAAGAAGCTCCCGGGACCTCCAGCTTTGCTGTTGCCCCCTTGCTGTGAACACGCCTATTTGCTGACCCAGCAATTACTCAAATCCCCACCATTCCCTGGGCCCCTCCGGGGAGGGGTGCTCTTATAGAAATCACTGTCTTGGGCAGTAGATGAGTTGGGGTCCATCAGGCAGAAAGAGGAGCGGGAACGTCATGAATCAAGGCTTGAGAAGGTTGGCCTTATTGAGATGACACTAAGTTTACTGAGGGTCGATCCAGGAGAGGAGGTGTCCCACATATCGTGGGGGAGTCAGCTTCCAACAGGGTAGAGGGACAGAGCTAGGTGGGGAGTAGGGCATGTCTAAAGCCCCATGGAGATGAGGGAGGAGGCTGGACTGGCACTGGGGACACAGCTGGGAGGGAGGGTAAGCCTGCAAGGGCCAAGGATGGACAAAAGAGAGTTAAGGACTCTATAGAGAACCAGCAGTAGGAGGTTCAAGCCCCTCAGTAGGAGGCAGCATTGATCCCAGCATCCCTCCTTAAGAAGGCAATGGGGACACCATTAAACACATACACATATCTCTGTTTGTGATCTCTCCCTTCTCCCCACAACTCCCAGCTCTCAGGCTCTCCCTGCTTTATGGGACTTTGGGGTTGAGAGAGTGGCTCTATGTTTGCCCTCTCCTCTTCCTGCCTTCCCCAAATCTTGGGCCAAGATTTCTCTGAGAAAGAGGTGTCAGTGTCTGGAGATGGGAGCAGATCAGCTTTGCCACTTCTGCAGCCCCTAATGTAAGATTGGGCAATGTTACCTTCTCCTTAACATCTCAGAGGCTGGTACTCCTGCCCTCTCTCCCCAGATCCCTCTGGGCCAGAAGACATCAGTCAGGCCCTGTTGAAAAACCTTCACATTCACACTTTCTGAGGCCTGAGAAAGAATCTGGGCTCCCTGAGAACAGGGCTATGTTACTCACAGCTGTTCTCCGGAGGAGCCTAGAACACTGTTTGTACCCAGTCGGTGCTCAATAAATGCTTAAAGAAGCATGAGACAGTAGGGATGGTCCCTCAGAGTCAGCCACACTGGCCCTCCTCCCTGACCCTATGGGGCCAGTGTCATATTGGAGGGCAGTTTAGGGTCAGAAATCAGCCTAGATTGTGGCAGCACCCCTAGTTCCTGGGAGGAGATGAAGAGATTGAGAGGAAGCCTCTGAGATGTGAAGGTACCCTCAATGGTGAAGTCAGGTGGCCCAGAAGCTCCACCCAGGACCCTGTTTCTCATTAGGGGCCTTCTTGCCCCCCTCCACCCCACGCCCGCACATGAAACGTGCCTCCCTGTGCTTAATTCATTACGCCCGGGCCGGGTGGGAGGCCCAGCGGGCGGGGGTTATTTTTTCCCCTGAGCTCAGACATTCCTCATTTTATTATTCTCCACACTTCAAAGCAGCTGTCGCCTTCCCTGGCCACCCCCGGCCTGAAGCTCAGAATCCAGAAGGGGCTTCTCAATGATTCAGGACACCTCAGGTTCAGCACAGGAAAGGAACTGAAACTCAAAGACAGCTGGGGTAGGACCCCACGGCAACCTGCAGGCTCCGCGCCTGAACTTAGCCTTGAAGCACTGTGCACACCCAGTTGCCCTCCTATGACATTAACCCTCCTGGTCTCTCTTCATTCCTCTGGTGCACTCACATGCACTGACGTGCACACACCCCTCTTTGACCTTAGTGTCCCCCTATAAACCACAGCCCACTGGCTCTCAGCACCTGCAGATTGCCTCCCAGATGCCTCTCTAATAGCCAAGGCCCAGGAACCTGCCCTGGCCTCCCTAATCCCAAAGCAGGTGCCAGAAGAACACTGCACAGTGGCCCTGCCCTGTAGGGAAAAAAAGAAAAGAGAAGCCAGTTGCCATGGAATTGAGTCAAAACCCTGGACATTAAAATATAACTCAACTCTAAAAGAATAAATTGATGTGTCTTACAGAGGGTACAGCCAGAATGCTCCGTGGATGACAAAACTTGGTCTCACTTACTTTGGGCATGTTGCCAGGAGAGGCTATTCCTTGGAGAGGGACAGCATGCTCGGAAAGGGGGAGGGTCGGCGAAAAAGAGGAAACCCTTCATTGAGATGGATTGGCACAGTGACTGCAGCAACGGGCTCAAGGGTGTCAGAGATTGTGAGGATGGCACAGGATAGGACAGGGCTCACATCTGTTGTTCTTAGGGTCACAGTGAGTGGTACTCAACTTGATGACACCTAACAACAACAACTACATAGGATTTTCTTGGCTGCAATCATTACGGAAGCGGATCACCAGGCCTTTCTTCCGTGTCACCACATGGTGGGTTCAAACTGCCAATTTTCTGGTCAGTGGTCAAGAGTAAGTGGATTTCTCCACCCAGGAACCTGGGACCTGCTCAGGACTGTAGCAAACAGCTCTCCTGGGCACCAGAGCCTTGTGGAAAGCACAGAGCAATATGGCCAAGGTAGGTCAGTCTAGTGGCCTACTGAGGGCCGGGCAGGGAATGGACAGGTTTGGGACCCAGTGCTAGAGAAATGGAGATTCACTAGAGAGATATCTGCCACCTCAGAGCTGACAACTCTTTCTGGCTGAGATGCCTCAACAAACACTGGACTAGCTACCTGCTGCCGGAGGCATTCCAGAAAACAGCAGCTCTGTCAGACTCTTGCTTGCCCTAGACAAGATGACCAAGATGTCAGAAAGCCTTTACTGTCCAACCTTTAAGTCAGTGTCCAGAGCTAGTGGACAACAATAACCCTCGTCAGATGGACAGGATGGGGGATCCCACATCACTCAGCAAGGGTAGTAGGACAGGCCAGGGCACAAGGACAGGAGACATGGGACCTTGCCCAGCCCCAGCCCCAGTGTCTCCCTCCTTTGGTTTGCTATTGAGTCCTGGTGCCTGGTTGTGTCATCATTGTGTACTGACGGATCAAGAGGGAGCTGACGGAGAGTGGCCTGCAGGACCAGAAGAGGGACTCAGATACCAGAGGAAACTGAGGTAGGAACCCAGGAGGAACAAGGGATGCTAAGGGCTGAGTCAGGGGAACCCTCCTGGTGCCTGTGGCCATGTTGTCCCCATTAGCCTTACAGCTAAGCTCAGACTCCCAGGGTATGGGGCTTCCAAGCAACAGCCTCC